AAAAAACCAGGACATCTTGAATTTTCCCTTTTCTTACACTTCAAGAGGTTTTGTCTAGCTGCAGCAGAAGTAGTAGAGGTGTTGAAGTTGCTCTGAGGGTTTAAACATATCCATCCAATATTTTATACTGGAAAAGGTGGTATTTTAGTGAACCTAGGAGTTAACATGAGCTTGAAAGCTCTCCTGTGCCTTTGCAGGTAGAAAGATGAATGCTTCCTCTGGAGCTGTGAGAAAAAGTTTCTGAAGAGAAACCACTGGTGAGATTCTCGTTGGTTTTCAGGCTCTGGCTGCTGTTCATCCTCACAGAAAACACAGCACTGGGGTCTGGCAGTGAAGTTTTAGAGCCCACACATAGTAATCTCTTTTCCAGAGCACCTACTGTCCTCTGTAATTTGTGTTTGGGAAACTAAAGCTTGTCAATAGGCCATGATTTAGAGATTTCTTCCACCTAAAAGGAAAGCATTTGTACTCTGTTCTGCAAATGAAAGCAAGCCCTGATGTCCACACAGGGATTTGAAATGCACAGCAGGTATTCCAAAAAGAGAAAATCTGAAAGAATTAAGAGGAAAGGAGGAGAGAAAACACAGTAACACCAAGAGGGAGAAGGATAACTGACGACTTTTCTTGCACAAATCCAAATCTGATATTTTATGAACACTTTAAGTATACCTGAAATATATTTAGATTCTCATTGTACTCAAGAAATAAGATGATTCCCTTTACAATGTAATTTATAGTAGGCCTTAAAGTAATTAAACTACTATTTTTGTCCAGCTGGATAGGTCCAGTGAAATACACAGATCCTAACTGGCTGAGAAAAAATGAAGAGAATTTATTCATCACAGCATTTGATTCTTACTTTTTCAACAATATCAGTTTTAAAGGCATAAATTGCCAGTATTTTAACTTAATTTCTCCAAACTACTGCTTATCAGAAGCCAAATACACGGTCTAATAGCTAAGCACGGAAAATGGCAGAGCTTAATTGCTTAATTCACCAGGACTTCTGTCACACCTTGTACACCTGCTAATATGGCAGGGAATCACTCTTTCAGAAATGGTTTTTCTTACCTCGAGGCTACAGAAGTAATGCACTGCATTTCCAGTGTACTTGAAATATCTGAAGGTACACCCAAGGTGAGATGGGGAGAAATCATGTGGCACTCAATTCTGAGATTACCTACAAGATAACACTTAATGTTTCTATTACACAAGGCACATTAGAAGCCAGCTATTTCTAAAATGGGCTTCCAAGAAACCCATTCAAGTGTCCACTCTCAGCTCCTGAAGTACACAGGCATTAAGTGATATAAGTGACATGAGAGTCATTACTTTCACACTGACCTAAGGATTAATCATTTCATCTTCCTCTCTCCTCAGCTGGAGGAATTGCCTGGGAAACAACCTGAACTCTCAGTGACCTTTGCTAACCAAACAACACATCCTCAGTGGTTTGGAGCAAAGTAACTATTCAGACCTTGAACCAGGATAGTTTGGACAGCACAGAGAGCTCCACCAATTGCACTCTTCTCATTTAGTATGCTGTGAAAAGGTTTGGTTAGCACAAGCTTCTCCAGCTTCTTTTTTCAACTTTTAGTAAACTTGTAATGAACTCACAGGCCCGACCAGGGAAAAGCAGCCACAGGAAATGGAGGAGACAAATAACAGCATCCCTCCCATCATCCTAATTAGCAACAGTGCTGCATCTAAGGTGGAATTTGTTAAGCTCTTATCCTCCCTGTTTACAGACTTAAGCAAAAGGCAAGGAAAAAAAAAACCCCAAACTCAGAGCCTGTCACATTACTGTAAAAAAAGAGACTGCTAGCACTCAAATAATTGTTTATCAAAGGCTATTTAGTCTATTTAATTGCCAGTCTCAGAAAAAAAAAAAAAAAACAACAAGGAAAGAAAGAAAGAAAGAGAGAAAGAAAGAGCTTGCCGGATTTCCATTATTTATTATATGTGGAGTGACTCGCTGAAGCACTTGGAAAGATTTACTTCCCCGTGGTCACCTACTTAGATCAAGCACTAAATCACTGCCTCTGTGGCTGGTGTTTGTTTAGGTGGCAGCAGTTGAGCTGGACCAGCCTCCCTGGCCCCTCGCCGGGGTCTCTGTGTGTGTGGCCCGTCCGGGGCTGCAGCTGGATCCGCACACAATTCCCACCGTGCTCCACAGACATTGTTATTCCAGGGTCTCCTTCCCCACGTCCCCGGGCACCCCAGACGTGGCTCCCGAAGGCAGAGCCACCTGTCCTGAGGGAGCTGAATCGCAAACACGCCGGGATTTTCACCAGAGTTGCCGGAATTCTCGCAAAAACGTCAGGATTTTCACCGAACCCGTTGGGATTTTCACCAAACGTGTCACTTCTTAGGCTCAGCTGCACGTCCTGAGGTACTAGAACCAGTTTTCTAAAGCTCAGACATCACCATCTCTCCCAACCAACGTTTCAAGATAAATAAGTACTAAAACTCTTACAATCATGCCTTAGATTATTTTACTTAATTCTGTCACTTCTAAGCATTACAGGCAACCAGGGCACTACAAAACAAACATGTTAGACTGTGCTCTATCTACATCAGACAGGAATCCTTCATGACTTGGAGAAGTTTTCCATCCATCCAAAACCCAAACCACCAGCAGTCATCCTTTACAGAAACCTTACATACACATCACTATTATGTACTGATGGTTATAAACACTTCTTTAATTGTATGAAGATTCAGGTTTGGTTTCATGCCATCAAAGCAAAGTCCTTTTAAACACCTAGACATCAGTGAATGGAAGGAACCTATTTGTTCATTAACTGAACAACAGCAGGTGAATCAAACACCTTGTTAAGTCACCAAATGTACTACACTGGTAATGCAGATAATTACCATGCATTTTTCATTCCAGCCCCTTTCAAAGCAAGGGACACAATGGGGCTGCCATCACTTCCTCCAGAAAACACCTGGGCAGTAAAACAAATTTCCGTATCAGAAAGCACCTCCCGAAAATATGCCCATGTTTTCCTTTGCTTAACATCACCCCACTATTTTTGTTTGCACTCCTACAGACCACCCAACAGAGTTTTGGCACATCATTAGACTTTATGGAAGCAGAGTTTAGCAAGATGCTGGAAAGGAGGTAAAACTTATTTCAAATACCATGGTTTGGTACAGCCATGCAAAGAATAAATCAGTATCTAGCTCAGAGATTTGCCAGGCCCTAGTCCCACATGGGATGGAGAACTGTGACAGAGCTCAGCTCTGGAAATTACTGGGCACAGGTGGCTGCTGGTGATCAGCATCATGACAGATCCCACCAAAAATAATGAAAATAACTGAATTTGTCTATATAAGCATGCATGTATTTCTAAAGAAATAAGACAGGCATATATTATTGATTTTCCAAGACTACAAAATTTACTCTCAGGCACCCATGTACCAATGTCATGAAAAGATTTTGCAATAATTTTTACTTATATGAATTGATAAGCAATTTATAGCTCAAAGTGTAACAATGCATTTCAGAAGCTTTTGCATTTTTTTACTAAACACTGTTCATTATTAAACTAAGAGATAAACACTGAATTTAAGTCATGTTTAAGTTGCAGAGTAGTTTCTCTAGGCTTCCTCTGTGCTAAATTTACATTTAACTGAATATCAGCCCTCTCGATGTACAGAGCCCAAGAAGATTGATTTCCTAATGTGATGCTGAAAGAGAGAGAACACAAATGCTTCCACAGAGAGTTTGCAAAAAATTTGGGACATCTTCTATCACTCTCCTGAAAGCTACATCTAACACCTAATTCTATTATTTAATTCTACATATTTGCTTTGGCATTTTATTTGTAGCCATTAGTCTAGTAGAGAAGGATAAAAAAAAGGTGCATTTTCACCCAAGAAATCCTATCTTATCTAAAAACATTCTTTCAACACCCAGAGTTTAATACATACATAGGAATCAAGGTTTTTGTATTTTCAGTTTGTTTGGCCAGATCACTATTTTCCCAAATTGACATAAAGTTGTTTTCATACAAATTAAATTTCTCATAAGCCTTAATTGATGGAAATATGTATTAGGTGACCCCACAAACACAAGGATGTTTTCACTTAATAAAAATACAGCACGTATTTAATCTGGCCTGCACTTAGAACATGTGTGACATAGAGAAGAAACAACAACAACAACAAAAAAAAAGGATGCTTAACCTCACTGCTCTCAATTTTTGAGTAGAGTTTGGTGCTAAACTTGCAATATCTTTGTGAACAATCAAACAGCTCACAATGTTTAGGGCTAATATAGCCTTGGGTAAATTCACAGAAATACTTACAACGCAGACTGGTAGACTTACATGCCCTCACTTTTGGCTCCTCAAGAGCCAAACTGGACTGAAATTTCTTATACTGCACAAGGAAGAAGGCATGTAAAACAATTTAAAAAAAAATAAATAAAAAGTACAAACTGGGAGATTCACCTTAAGTTAGCTTCTTCCTCAGAAAAGTTTTACGACAGCAAACACAACCTGGAATATCCAGAAGCATCTATAGATATAGACAATACTGGTTTCTTTCCTGTTTAGAGAGTGTCCTTCCCTTTGCAGCCAAGGAAGCAGCATGGAACCACTTTCCCATATGCAATTTAATGTAACAATTTCAGCCGTAGCTTACAAAATATCTGAAGTACTAGAAAAGCTCATTTTAAAACTACGTTTTAGCATTTGAAAATAATCTTGCCTGATTTTTATTTTTTTCTGATTTAGGAGAGTAGTACAGAGAGAGGATGAAAAAAACAAGGAAAAACAGAAGTGCACAGGAGGCTACAATCTGAAAAGGGCAGCATCCATCCCAAATCACCCACCTTCCTTTCTAACTTTAATCCATGCAAGAGCTCACAATGCTCATTCAATCTGGAATGAGTATCACAAGTCTGTCTGATTTTAATGACCATAATAAAATACAGAAATGTATTTCATTCTCATAGTTTAACAGATGAATTTAAGCATTTATCTACTTACAGAGCCATCTTTTAAGTTCCTTTCATAGGAGAAGTGGCAGGCCTTATTCTGCTCATCTCTTGAAATCACGAAGTTGTATCTGCCAGCTGACTCTTCTGCAGCTATCAGTGCTTTCCTCAGCTCTTCCACATATTTTTCTCTGTCCATTTCCATGTCAGCAGCCTCCCTAGAAATGTCTGCTTCAGACACTACCAAAAAGAGACATGTGAGGAATGAATACTCATATGTGTGTGAACAAGTATATGCATTATACATTACATATAAAACATATATTAATATACTGTTATATCTATAAAATACTGTATTTATATATATTTACTATACATATATAAAAATAATACACATTTTATATATTTATATATCTTAAAGTATATATATATTTTACATATGGGTTTTTAAATATATGTATTTTCATGTATATACAGACGCACACTGACTACATGATCTTCAGAGTCCCTTCCAACCCAAGGCATTCTGTAATTCTGTGATTCTATGAAATATTATTCTTCCCTTGAACACACATTGGTGTGTAATTCCCACCTGTGCAAATGCAGCAGGAATACTGCGTTTTCCAGAAGTTCTGTCCCCTTTTTTCCCTGTCTGAAAATGGGTTATTTCCTTGTTGCCACTCATCCACAATTCTAGCTGCCTAAAGTCACCCAAAATAGTACAGAGAGAAATGTGGAACCCATTGCACCATGAGGCAAAGAGGGGTAGAAAAAGGAAGTTTGAAATACTTACAAGGGGACTGTTTGTCTGGAACAGTGATTTCAATACTGAGAAGGTAAACTTTTAATAACAAGTCATAAAAAGAAAGACACTAAAATACTGCAGTATAGCCCTGTGGGGTTTTGGTTTTTTTTTTTCTGTATATGCTGCATGTTCCTTTATGATTTAAAACAGCAGAACTGATCAATCATTAGGGAAATTTGATATGCATAAATTCTCATAGACGTATGATATACCAAGATAAAACACTAGATTACATTGCATATTTGTGTGCTTCTCCTCCCCTCCAACATTCACTGTTTTCCCTCTTTCCTTAAACAGAACTCCTAACACATTTCATCATCACATTAAACATACAAAACCCATAAAAGACAACTCCATCAGCAACTCTCACTCTCTTCCTGGTAGGTCTTGCCAAGGAAAATAATTCACAACATGAGAAACCCGAAAGGGATTTCCCCCAGCAAGAATACTCTGACCGTTGCTTTCCCTCCCTCCAGGTTTTGAATTTAAAATGGAAGCAATCTCAGAAATGATGTAGTAACTTTAGAAAGTGACCAAAACTGATGTTTTGTTGAATGAAAACACAGATCAGTGCAGTAGGAAAGCCTCATGTGCAAGAACATCAACCCCCAATGAAATTATTCCAGGGATTAGAAATACAGTAAGAATTTCTAAGAAAGGGATCAGATTCCTCCAGAACAGAAAAAAACTCTCCTTTGGATGAGCACCCAGTGCTCATGGCTGAACTGTCATGGGTTTCTTTATTCCCTTTTCAACGCAGTGAGGTCATCCTGCTTTCACTGCCCCACTGTTTTGGGAGATGATTATCCCCCCTATTCCACCAGATGCAGGAACTCCACAAAATGAGAACTGTGTCTGCCCTATTTTTTTCTATACACTCCCAGCTACAGTGGCACAGCCTTCACTTGGAGAAATAAGAATCATCTTTTTGTGAATTCTAAACTGGGGATTTTGAAGTCGCCGAAGAATGAGAAGATCCTTCGAACAGAAAAAAAACAGTATTGGTCAGTGTTAACACCCTTCATGTTATTTTCAAAATAACTTTACTATTGTCAAGCCAAGAAAGAAAAACTTTGCACTACTGGGAATCAGGGTTGGAACACATGTATTTGCTTTATACAGGGACCCCTGATCGATAGAGTGTTTGGAATATTAGAGGCAATATGGAAGAGCAGATTTAATTTATGTGTTGATTTTAATTTACGTTTATCCAATCTCAGATCTATGTGAAAGCTTGGTTTATGTAGGAACTGAGGAGAAACAACATCTACTGGGCAGGGAGAAGGAATGAAGGAAGAAAGGAACTACATGGATACTTATAATTCAGATCAAGGGTCCAGAAAATGGTTTTACCTACAATTTGCTAAAATTACATAGTTCTCCCTTTGAAATATTTTTGCTACTGAAAGAAGGGCTTTGATCAAATATTTGACATTTCTCAAGGAACACACAAATCTAACATTTTTTCACTAAGTATGAATGGGAGAAGCATGCACATATGCAAAGACCCATTCTCTTACTAAGGTTTCAGAGAAGGGGAAAAAAATCCCACAGGTTAAGTTTTTCCTATTGATAACTTATTGTCTCTTTTCTTTCCCAAAAATTCACTTCAGTATAAAATACAGCCACCTTTGGCTATTAAAATTTCACAAAAACACTTAAAAAACATCCGCAATTAAAAGGCTTCATGGACTGCAATTTGCAAATGGAACTTGCGTGCACATTTGTTCAAGAAGACACAGAAGTGTTACTTCAGCATCCCTCCAAGAAATTATACATTTTTGAGAGAACAAAACGCTGCATATCCATGTGCTGAATGAGTTAGTTTTAGCTTTGACACACCATCACTCCAGATTTCAATGTTCTCTGGCCATATCCCAGGAGATCATGAACCCCACCTCCTCTATCACTGGGGACAAAACACCCATGAAATTTTCATATAGGTTGCGGGTCATGGTTTAGAAAGTGTTTAAAAAGGAGGAATTAAGAGCAGTAATAATTTAAATTAATGTATTTTTCTATCTATTACCTTTCCCAGTCCAGGCACACTGACAATCACTAAGAAGTAAACTGAAGCCAGTGCCTAAATCCTTTTCCCATGACACCTGCAGAAAATAGGTTGCTTCTGGATCAGAAACTGGATGAATTCTGTTCAAAGTCTTCTCCATCTTCTCAACACCTGTTTAAAAAAACAAGATAATCTTGTTATAACCACCGGGGTGCTTAACACCTTTACATAACTAGCTTGGGGGTTGCCTGTGTGGGGAATATACAAATACAAGCATGCTTGTAACTTTATTCTACTTTCCTCCCCAAATGCAGTTTGTCAGCGAACTGGTGACACTTGCAAATAGGAAACTGGATTATAGCAATTCAGGCTGCAGTGCCAACAATTAAACATATTTGAATAGTCTCAAATTAAGAAGCTGCCAGGAAGCTGGGGCATAGGAAATTACTACACACAAGCTCTTCCCCATAGCTCTGTTTTTAACTCACTGCTATCACCCAAAGTACAGAAAACATAATTCAAAATAATCAATATTCATCTGGAAGACTGCCACATGAAAGCTACTACTAAGCTTCAGCGCAAAGCAGAGGGTGTAGCAAATGCCAGCAACCCAAAGGAAATATTTTAAGCACTGGATTCTGCAGAGAACAAAATCTATGATGTTACAGTGAATATTTTTGCTCTATGGCAAACCAACTTGGCAACCTGTGCTTGACCTGAGACCTTCTCAAGAATCCCACGTAGTTACACACAACCTAAGTGAAGTGACTGAGAAAAGGCTACGTGTTCACTCACAGACTAAAAATAGCATGTAAAAGGAGGAAAAGCCCAGATGAAACATTTAAACTACATGCACTGAGTACAATGGTGCTTGGGCAGGGATTAAATGCTCTATCGAGGTTTCCATCTAAAGTGCAGCAGTAAATAATCATGACCAGGATCAGTTCAGGCCCTGAGGGGACTCTATTCTCCAAGCAGGAGCAGAAGGAAGCTCTTTCTTTGCTCCTGGACATTAAGAAACTAATCTAGATACGGATTTAACTACCTTGGCTTCCCCGAAAATTGGCATTTTCAGGTTAGGAGGAGCAGCTTTAACCTGTAGTTGACTGAACTGCTCCTGACCCTTGCTCAACTCTGCACCCAACAACATCTCAAAAATGCCTCTTCCTTGCCCAGAAAAGTGCATAGCCTTCAAAATCAAAGTATAAGCAAGCAATAGCATTCAAAACCAAAGAGTTTTATAGTTCCATCACTAACCAGCTGGCCATTTCAGAAAATCTACAGTCTGTGCACCTGTAAGCAAGAACAAAAAAATTAAATATTTGGGGGTTGACAGCTGGAACAATGCCTTTGCAATTAGTGACTCCAGAAATAAAGGCATTTTAAAGATTTGTAGGGCACTAACTGTCTGCCATGGGTCAGTAACGAGCACAGGGCAGGAAACACAAGCATGCTCAAGAACACATGCATGCACTCTCCTTCGCCTGCCAGATTCCCTTTTGCTTCTTGTTAGTCATAGAAAAATACAGTCTCTTGTGAAATATTTCCACAGAAGTCCTCCTCTGAAAGACAACGTCCTAAAAAATATTTCAATTAAAGACTGTAAAACGGTAGCAAACAACCCTGACAGACAACACACAGGGTACTGATACACGTATGTGTAGCTCAACAGGAAGGTTTTGCTTGTTTTATGTGATTTTTATCACAAAGTAGAGCAGCATTCAGTGAAAAACACCTGCACTAGAGGCTTTCTTATCAACCCAGACTGCTTATAACAAAAAACAAAGCAAGATATTTTCTATTTATATAATAATGATAAAGCGAATGAAGTGCCAGTCAGTCCTCAGTGAGAAAAACTGAGGTCAAGAGTAAGAGAGGAAAGAAGCTTGCTTGTTTATTTATTTAAGGATGCACTGACAAGATCTCTGAGGCCTGAGACTAAATTAATTTGATACAGTGATATTGGTTTCTCATGCACACATCAGTATTTCATTCCTGTGATGCAGCATAGCTAAAAATCTGTTCTGTTTACAAAACACTGGTGGTACCCTGTGGTAAAAAAAACGTCAACAGAATGAGGAGACACAACCAAGAACAACACCCTGAACTTCGAAACAAATGCAACATACAGTTTTCCTGCTTTTCCAAATTTTATTGTGCATCACTGAAAAAAAGCATTTTCCAAGAAAGCATAAAATGAAGATGTTTTCTCTCAGCTTTCATTTCCTCCACAGTGATTAGTGGCCTTTTGAAAGGAGTAAATTACTTATTACTCCATGTTCAGGAGCTGCCTCTTTCAGCAGAGCTCAGCCAGACTCCATCTCCAAGCATTCAGCTGTTCTAACCCATCAGCAGAATCTCAAGGACTCCTGGCTGTATACAATGCCTATTATATATTTCTCTCCAAGAGGAGGAAAAACCTCCTTCACGAAAATTAGTCCGACCTACACAGCACATAAAAACATCACTGCAAGCAGAAATATTGTACCTTACTGCTCTTTTGAAAATAAAACAATTACAACAACAAGAAGCTAAAAATCCAAATCCCTTTTCCCCTTATCCCTTTTATGTCCTGAGAACACAACTCTGTCACAGAGTTTAAAGCAGTGTTCAGTAAATGGATAAACCACACACAGTTCAAGCATGAATACAGCAAAAAATATCAAAGGAGTTCCCTACTTATTTAACAACTAGCAGTTACCACTAAAAAAATTTAAAATACAGACAATAAATGAGGGCATATTCCTTATTCATTCACTAAGAGGTGACTGCATGCATTTCATTCACTCTAAAGGCAAATCTTAGGAACAGATGTACAGCACCCTATTTCCAAAATAAGATGTATTGCTTTGTATTTCAAGAGGTGAATTAACACAATCTCCTCGTAACTAACCTGCCCCAATGCACCCACTTGCTCACTAAATTCATCACCCCATCAGCTTCCAATGTGTCAAGGCTTATGTGACCCTTCACAGATCAAATACTTCTGCCAGGTAAAAATGTCGTTACGAAAGAAAGACACGAATATAAAGGAGAGGTGAAACCTTGAGAGTTATTTTCACTTTCACATCTTTGGGGTAAAAAGGTAAGAACTGTGTTAATGCTCAGAAAGAGTAGACCCCTGAATTTTTGGAGTGTCACTATTTAACAGTCCAGCTGTTGGCGAAGCTTGTTAAAACAAAGAAAATAATGTTTGCACAAAAGCAGACTGTACTTTTATTGGTACCCGGATTACTGGAACCAGCCCCTCATTGTGGCAGCCTAAGAAGTCCCTCTGAGTCCACCAGACCAGAGGAGCACCCTCAAGTGCCATTCAGCACCCAGCCCTGTGGGCTCTTCCCATTCACCACCTCCACAAAACGAGAGCGGTCGGTTCTTTCTGCCTTTCCCCTTAAAGCGAAGCTGCAGAGAAGCTTTTGGGATTTTGGGGCCACAGAAAGGCACAGCTTCTTCCCTGGGGGGCACAGGGGGTCACACACACAGCACCTCTCCATCCTGCAGGTGGGGACAGCAGGGTCCCACCCAAGTGTGTAAATCAGAGGCTTTATTGAGGCCTAGGAACAGTTGGGGATTGAGCTGTTTCTCTTTAGCACTTTGTCCCCCTGGTCTTTGGCTCCTGTGAACACCATTAGGCAATGTTTCCCTCTGAGGAGGAATCAGCTGTTGGCTGGTGCCTCTGCCCTTGGAACAAACAGAGCACACAGGGCCCTCTGAATGAACAAGACACTCTTAAAATGCACCCAACAAAGAATTTTATATGTTGTTTTGGATAGCACCAGGCATAGACCAAAAGCCAAATCTTTCAGGCTGCTCCAACACAGCATCATTGATAATATTCTGAACTTCAGCACTTCATTTTTTTTTCCCTCCATGCAGACTAATGGCTTTTTTTTTTTTTTTTTCCCAGATTGGTCGGGCTGCAGGTGTTCCAAACCTCAGCAGCTATGCTTGGAAGGCTACTTACAGACCAGAAAGAGCTACTATGTCTTTGAAATGGAGCAATTAACCTAAGTGCTTTCTTGCTGAGGAAAAATGGGAACTATCCACAGGGAGTTCAGAATAGAAGACCACACACTGCTATTAAAGTCTACAGTTTAGTTCCTTCTGACCCTGCCCAAACTACAGATCACAACCTAATAATCAGAAGAAAGTTAATTGTAAATTCATAATCAGAGAAGAGGTACTATTCAGGAGATGCTGCATGTACTCATAAGTGGATAATTGGAGATTTAAACCAGTCAAGAAAAGCTCAAGATTGCTTTTAAAGATTAAAACTAGCTATTACCACATTTTGTAACAGAAGGAAATAAGATAATGCCTATATTTATGCATATTTCCAGTGATATATTTCATACAAATTGATATTCTCTCGTGTTAATTTAAAATTCCATTAACTCCAATACTTCAGGAGCAAGAACATTAAAATACCTGACAAAAACCTCAACTCTCACTCCATTAATCTTAGAACTACTACTGATCCAATAGGGACTTCCTCTTTCTTCATTTTTATTTGGAAGAACATGACTGGGTCAACGTACATGAAGACAAATAACCCAGCATCTTTCCTGTCCCATCTCACAATAATCCTCCCACTCCTCTGGCCACAATACTTGTTTGACACTGAAGAATGACTCAATAATAACCTTCATGTGGGACTTACAGATAAATCTGAAAGTCAAGAGAAAAAAATCAGAAAGAGCTCTGTTCCCTAATGCAATTTAGGGGGCTAAAACACTTTCATATTACATGCATCCTAAATAATGGACTTGTTTAATCTTTTGTTTAACTTTGCTCTGTATTAAAAGCATACGAGTTACAATTTTGCCAATAACGCAACTTCGCCTTGGAGATAAAAGAAACAAAAATTAGCACATGGATAGGAAGAAGAGATTGAACGATTTTCTAACTTTGTGCAGAGGGGTAAAGTGGGCCATTTAAGAAATTCAGTGCTCCATGGCAACATTTGATCAGGAGATCATGGGCCCAACTGCAGAGTCGAGGCTCACATGGCTCACATTTGCACTGCTGCCTTCCCACTGCTTCGTGGCAGCCACAGAACGATTGGAAACATGCACATCATTTTTGTGCAGTTGTGTGTGTCCCCCTCCATCCACCAAAAAAAAAAAAAAAAAAAGAAACCCCAAACCGAAAAAACCAAAAACAAATTAGTT